GGAAGGGGGAAGGGAGGGAGGTAAGAAAGAGGCATGGCCTATTAGAAAAAGTTGTAATGATTCAAAATTATTCATGTAAGCCCACTCAGGTTCTCTCACATTAGAAAGTGACTAAGGCTATGGCTCATCCATGGACAACTCTCTGCTAATCAGGAAACAATGATGACCACTACTTAAAGTCAGGCAACACTGGATATCTAAAGAAACAGAATATCCTTACCTTAAGTTAGAATTCACTAGTGAAATATGTTTGCTTCCTAACATTGTATGTATGGGAATATGGTTAATACTTACCCTGAAGTCGAAGTCTAGCTGTATCCAAGGGAAAAAACACTGTCATTGCAGTCACACTTCCCTGAAAAGTTTGAAAAAGGCTTTAGCCATTATAATATCACAAACAAAATTAGCCACAACTTTTAAATGAATAAAAGGTCATTATTCTAATTGGATAAATCAGATTTTCAGTGAAGAAATACATACAATATTTTAATTTATCAGAACTATTATCATTCAAACTTCTATTGTTATTTTATTTATTTATTTATTTTTGGTACTGGGGATCGAACTCAGGTCCTTGCACTTGTGCAGCAGGCAGCGAAACGACTGAGCTAAATCCCCAGCCCTATTGTTATGTTCTTAAACAGAAGAATTTAATTTTCCAGAGGAACTCTCTTCTCTATCTCTCTGATACTGAAAAAGAAATGTAGTAAGTTCCTACAAATGACAAACTTAGCAATCTACAACCTAGGACACATATGACAGCACACAAAGATAACAGGTGAATACATTTTTAACCTTTTACAATCAGTTGCTACCATGTTCATTCTCTGATAGCCCCAAACCAAAATATTCAGTAAGTATACAGATTTGTACTTCTATTTTCTGTGCTTAATATATTTGCTACAAAGGGAAAGGGCTCATACGAACCATACTGCTCTTCAAAACCAAATTCTGTTTGCTTGTATTTTCAATAAAATAGGGATACTCTAAAAAACTCATCCCAGGTAACAGAATAACACAAATTATCAATGGGAAAAAAAACTCTGAACAACCAGCCTTTCTGTTCATATCACATTAAAAGAAATAAAAGCCAGAAGCATTTACTTAGGGATGAAATTATCTACATGACAGTTCAAGTTCAGTTTATGATTGCAACCCAGATATAAGCCCCTCGCTGTACTGTCTCAGGCACAAAATCAAGCTTTAGGCTACTGATCTCATACAATATAATTACAACTAGAAACTGGGTCAGTGATAAAGTGCAAAATTTTTCTGGGCCTCTTTTATCTACATAAATAGGTAAGCCTGCTTGACAAGTGAGAGTATTCCATTTTAACATTAGTATACCTCAAAACTCAGACTAAATGTTATCCTCTCTTCCCCATCAAGTTATAAAGTTGTTCAGCTCCTAGGTTCCCATAGAACCTATCTCTTTTATAGCATTTGACTGCACAGTGAAACCTAACTCTATATTGTGAGAACATTAATTCTTTATCTTTGCACACTGTATATTCTCAAATATGTGTTCAATTCACTCTATGCTTTTTACGTTTATTTATATTTTTTTGAAGACTCTAAATGTTCTTTTCTGGTAATGACTGGATGATATTCAATGTCTTATGAAAAAATAACTCACAAATGCTGGACCCAAAAGGATCATAAGTCCTGCTGAATCCATGACTCCAGCACCCTTGTTTACTTTGTAGGCAATTTCTAAGGTAAATGGGGCTGGAAAGCTAGAGAAAACCTATTCCTTTTTTTTGCTGGTACTGGGGATCAAACTCAGGACCTTGCACTTTCGAGGCAAATGTGGTGCCACTGAGCTAAATCCCCGGCCCACCTATTCCATTTATTAAACTGTGGGATTTGTTTCCCACTTCATGATGCTGCATAGATATGTAGTATACCTCCTGGACAGGGCAGCTTCAGGTGGCAAAGTCTGGCCTGGATGCTACTTTTTCAAACAACTGGGCCACTTTCACCCCTCTCTCTCCCAGCTTTAAACAGCCCTGCCCTATGTATCTCAAAATTGTAAAAATGAAACACAAAGATAAAGACAACAGTCAGCTCAGAGCTCTCTGGTCTGCTATCTCCTCAAGAACTGGTAAAGAACAATTCAAATCAGATGCTGGGTGTGGTGGTGTCACCTACAATTCCAGTCCTCAGGAGGATTTAGTTTGAAGCCAGCCTGAAATATGCAGCAAGGCCCTGTCTCAAAATATCAGGAAAGAAAAAGAGAGAGAGAGAGAGAGAAAGAGAGAGAGAGAGAGAAGGGAGAGAGGGCGGGAAGGAAGGAGGGAGAGGTTTATTGATGGATATCCTAAACTCCAGTACCTCAAAGTGAACATGTCACATGGTGGCACTTTGCGTTTATTAATCAGCTGACCTTAAAATGGGGATTATTTTTTATTATGTGAATGAACCCCATGTAATTAGAGAGATATAACACAGAGAGATGCAGAAGAGTAGTTGGGAGTGATACCATGTAAGGACTCATTATTGGCTTTGAAGATGGCACCAGTGGCACCCTCTGCAAGTTGGAAAGGCAAGGAAATGAATTTTCCCCTAGAGTCTCTGAAAAGGAACACAGCTTTTTTTTTGGTACCGGGGATCAAACTCTGGTCCTTGCACTTGCACAGCAGGCGGCGAAACCACTGAGCTAAATCACCAGCCCCAGGAATACAGTTCTTACAACACACATTTTAGCTTCCTGAGACCTGCGTTACTCACTAAGTTGGTGATCATCTGTCATAGTAGCAATAGGAAATACAACAGAATTACTACAAATGGTGAGGACAAACACTGGATGCAGAAGGGAACCTGGGGGTAATTCTCAGGTTAACTAGCTAGATACTGTGACAAGAGCAGTCAGGCAGTGGTCCCAGATAGTAACACTAAACACTGAGGGAAGTGCCTGAAGTAACCTAAAACACCCACTTGGCATACAAAGCTCCTTCAGAAAGCTAATCACTATCATACTGAGCCAAAGCCCAGAGCACCTTCCCATCAGGATCCTGGAAGCTAGCAGAAGCAGACAGGCAGAGGCAGGGGAGAGCTATGCAGGAAGGGGAACTAAAAGCTCATAGCGTCACCCTATTAAAGGAAGTGGACACACATGTAGATGCGTTTCATACTTTGTTAGAAAATCGAAGATTACTTAATGTGAGGGTTATAAATTTAAGGTTGAAATGTGAGCTTCTAGTTCCAGTAACAGTTGGCCTTAGATAATGTGCTGAAAATACCTAGAAATACTGACTATAGTAAAGCAAACATCCTTTAAAGTCCCCAGCTAAACTCACAAGAAAGTAAGGGAAATCCATGGGGGCCAACAGAGGAGTGGAAACCCACAGGGTTAATTAAGCAGGGTCTTCTACTTTGGGTGACTAGGGAATTTTGGGGTGGGGGGTTGAGAAGAGGTTTGAGGCAGGGTCTCTGTAGCTCAGACTGGCCTCAAACTTTTGATCCTCCTACCTCAACCTCCCTAGTGCTGGGATTACCGGCCTGTGCCACTCTATGTGGTGTCTAAGGATTTTTTTGCCAGTCAGTCATCAAGGGGCTTTTTTGTTTAACTGAGGTGGAATGCATCCAATAAAAAATCAACCATTTAAAATTATACCATTCAGCCAGGCGTGGTGGTGTACAACTATAATCCCATTACTCAGGAGGATAAAGCAAGGAGGACTGCTTCAAGTTTGAGGCCAGCTTGGGCTACATAGTGAGTTCAAGGCCAGCCTGAACTACATAGCAGGACTCTGTCTCAAAAAACAAAACAAAATTAAATAAATAAAATTATACCATTCAGTGACATTTAGTAATTGCAATGTTGTGCAACTACCACTTCTCAAGTTCTAAAATATTTTCTTCACCCCAAAAAGAAAATCCCCCAAGGCCAGGGATTTAGCTCAGTGGTTCCACCGCCTGCCTCCTCGCAAGCGCAAGGTCCCAAGTTCGAGCCCCAAGACAAAACAAAACAAAAAATTCCCCACCCATTAAACAGGCATTCTTCATTTCTCCGTTTACTCAGTCCCTGGCAGCCAAGCATAAACTGTCTGTATGGATGTATCTTTTTTTTTTTTTGGTACCGGGGATCGAACTCGGGTCCTTGTGATTGCACAACAGGCGGCTAAACCACATGTATGGATGTATCTTTTCTGGATATTTTCTATAAAGAAAACCATTTGTCTGGTGTCATTTTATAACTTTTTTTTTCATTTACCATAACATTTTCAAAATTCTTCATTCTCTTTCATGGGTAAGTAATATTCTATTATGTGTATATAGTACATTGTGTTCATCCATTCAAAATGTTTTGGAATGAGGTAGAGGTGGTGGTTGTACAACATTATGAAAATACTAAACACCACTGAACTGTACTCTCTCTCCTTTCTTTTGGTTTTTGGAGACAGGGTCTTGCTATGAAGTTGAAGCTAGCCTTGAACTTACTTTGTAACCCAGACTAGCCTTGAATTTGTGGTAATCTTCCTGATTCAGCCTCCCAAGTGCTGGGATTACAGGCGTTGAGTTAACACAACTATCTTGAACAGTACACTTTTTTTTTTTTTTGGTGTGTGTGGTGCTGGGGATTGAATCTAGGGCCTCACACATACTAGGCAAGTGCTCTACCACTAAGCTCATCCCCTGCCCCATTGAACAGTATACTTCAAAATGATTAATTTTATTATATGAATTATACCTCAATTTAAAACAAAAACATTTAATCCTCACAACAACCTAGATGAAGTAGGACCTATTATTCACTCCCTTTTAGAAATAAGGAAGCACTTACCAAGAGGCTCAGGAACTTTCCTAACAATATATAGTCTATAAGTGGCAGAATCAAAATTTGAACATAGGCAGCCAGCTTCAGAATTCACACTCACTTCTGTAATGAAAATTCTCTAAAAACTATTAAAAAGAAGTACTAATATAGACCCTACTTTTGTGTATCAATTTTTTTGTGTGTGGACTAGTCTGAAAACAGCCTATAGCCTAGTGTAAGTATAAACCTTGAACTTGTTAATAAACGTATGAATTTATGCCCCTACAGATAAATTCAATTACCTATAAGAATATCTATTCCAAATAATAAAGGTAAATTTGGAACAAAGGTCTTTTGTGCATCAGAACTTGCTATATTTGTCTCCTAGCTAACCAAACACAAAGGCGACTTTTTACAAGCAGCTGTTACCTGAAGCAAGATATTATTTATGAATCTTGTGCCAAGCTTAAAAAGAACATCATTTTTCAGAATTTGAATTAAATTCCTTCTAACATAATGTGTTTTTTTGCCCTGAGGACTGTTTGTTCATTTTTGCAAAATTAGAAGGCACAAAATACCCAGACAATAACCACAAT